GCGGCGGCGGCGGCGGCGGCGGCGGCCGGGGGCTCCTCCCTCTCGGCCCGCCCTCCCCTCCGCGCTCGGCCCGCGCCCTCCGCGCCTCCACCCACCGCCCGGCGCGCTCTCCCGGCGCCGCCCCTCCGCCTCGGGCCCCGCGCTCGCTCGCTCGCTAGCTCGCTCGCTCGCTCTCCCCGGGCTGGGATTTTCCCTCCCCTTGCTCCCCTCCCCGCGCTCACGCGCACTCTCTTTCTCTCCCGGGCTTCATTCACATCGGAGCCAAGGGAAGCCGAGGGAAAGATTGGTTCCCTGAAAGGATCCCGGGGAGGCCAGGTCTCCAAGTCACCCCTCTTCCCAACCCCGGACAGTCGGGATCCCTTTAGTCCCCGGGGGTTCCGCCGTCTGTGGAATGGAGAGTGTGAACCCCCCTCCCCTCCTTTCCCCCACAGCGTGGGCCTGTACCTGGCTGTGGAGGTCTAGTCATGGATGGAGACGAAGACTCATTGGCTTTCCAAAAGCCCCAGATGTGGGTCACAGAGCAGAGGCATACTTTATGAGCCAAGCCGGACGGAGACCACCTTCACCCCAACCCGAGCGGCCAAGGGGTTCTGGCAGGGGCTCGGAAGCGCTGGACTTCTTTGGAGAGGGGCCGGGGATGTGACTCACCGGTCCCGCTCCTGCTAGTCCATTGCTGGTAGAGGCAGGATCGCCGCAATTGTAGAGAGTTGAGCATTGCAGCCTCCGGCTGTTTCCCTCTTCCCCCAGCTCGCTCCTTCTCCGAACCTCTACTTTTTCTTCTGTTGGCTCAACCTCAGCTTAACCGGCTTTCCCTCCTCTTAACAATATCAGGCTCTGCTCCAGGCCCGCTGGCCTCTTCACTTAATTGCCTTTGGCTCCGGCAGGGTCCCCGGGTCGATACACTCCTTTCCCTCGCGGCCACGCTAGGCTCCTTCCTCAACACCTAGATCCCCTCCTCCGCAACGCAAGCGGAGGCCTGAAAGCCACACTGGGAGGGCAGGCGTTTCTCCTCCTGGGTTCCCGGTGCATCGGTGAGGGGCGTCCTGTGGGCTGCTGTCCTGAGCCCCTGGGAACTGAAAGAGGTATCTGGAAAGCTGCTGGCCTTGCAATTTTACTTCCCGCTGGCACTTTCCCAGCTCTCCTCGGAGAAAATGAATGACCCCAGGCTGGAAGCTCGGTCCTTCCTCCCTGGAGAGTATGAGCTCTCCCCTTGTCTAGCATGTATGTAGCCATGTGCAGTAGCAATGTGTTAATGTTTGCCCTTGGAAAAAATTACCTTCTGTTGGGGTAGGGGAAGATAGATAGATAGATAGATAGATAGATAGATAGATAGATAGATAGATAGATAGATAAAAATTACAAAATAGTGAGGACCAGGCTGGTCACCCCACTCATAATTGCTGGGGTTGGGGGAGAGGCTATCTGTTCTGCCTTCCAAAGTTTCAAAGGACAAGAGTCATTCATGGCTTTTTCTTCCCCTTAACATTTTTTTTACTGCCATCTTGTCTGGTATTCTGTCCACAGCAGGTGCCTGCTACATGTCTGAACAGCCTGGAAGGAATGGCATAGTTTCTCCTGGCTCAGGACAAGGTTGCTCCCCTCAGACTCCAGTAGCCTCCAAGATGAGCTCAAGGTTCCGTGCTCTGACAGAGGCAGTTTTCAATCTTTCCTTTGGGGTGCCTTTCAGAACTGATCCTCAACTGTTGCCCAACTGCTGCCCTGGTCTCCTGCCTTGTACCAAGGAACTGCAGCTCTCTGAGCAGGTGAGGTACGGAGGTTACCTGTGCCCACACCCCACACTACTCCCCAAGCTGGAAGCACCTCTGTGGTCCTAGAGTTCTATGAAACAAGGTGTGAGAACCCACATCTGAGTTAGCTAGCTCCTGGGTTACACAGAGGCGTCTTCTAGCCGATTCTACGTAGAGCTTTCTGGGACCTTGGAAGAAGCCAATGCAGTGGCCTCATTGATTTTCCAGCGGCTGGGTGGGGAGTAGATGCCTCCTTATTCTTTCTTAGGTAGCTGCGAGGTAACTCTGAAATCTCACAGGAGGTGGGACAGAGGTCTTCAGTTCTAGGACGCAAGGTGGACTAGCTTATGCACTAGACCCACAGCTTGGAGAGTGTTGGAGAGATTTGGGAGTGGACCTGGGCTTGAGATAGTTGCCATTTTGAGTCGTGAGCAGACTGGTCTGGACAAGCCATGCCCACCTGGAAGAAAGATACTACTCCGGTCTGCCTCTCAGATTTGCTTTGATGGTCTCAGAAACAGACAGGCATGCACTAGGCAGCCATTTGTGGATGAGTGGCAAAGGCCATTTCTTCCAACTCTCTTTGAGGCAGGGATCAGGACTTGCTATAGGAACATAGAGGACATTCTGTGTGTTCTCACTATCTCCTCCCATACCTTAGGACACCTGGACAGTCAAGTCAAAGTGGAGAAACTTGCTTTAAGCTCTCACACCAGAAGGCAGTGGCCCAGTTCCTAGCTCAGCCCCGTAGACTGTTGTTATTTCTTGTTATTTTGAGAGGACCCCGATGGGGGGCTTGACAGTTCGCCTGTCTGTCGGTGAACACACAACCCGCAGCCACACTCGGACCCGAGCTTATGTGGTTGTAGACCGTGGAGTCAAATAAGGACTTGACCGCCGGCGAAGCTGGAGCAGACTCAAGGCTGTCTCAGGCGATTCATCATGCCTGGGTGAGCACAACCGAAGTCTGGAAATTTCTGCTCAGCTAAGATTCAAGACTTCTAAGTGGCAGAGTTTTGCTGCCTGGGGACCCTAGAGTTTTCAGTGTCTCCTGGGTTGCTTCCAGATCCAAGAGAAGGATATATCCACCCCTTGCTTGGGAGAAGATTCTGGACCAGTTTTTTTCCAGAAAGACATGACACTTGGTGTTTCTTGTAGGGAGACACCTAGGACAAATTGTACAACTGACCACATATTTTATTGTCCCTTCCCCCCACTTTGTATGGTCAAAAAGATGGGGCACGAGGCCATTAGTTAAAGTGGCTCTCCAGAAAAATCTTTCCCCCAAATTTTCAGTGGTTCCTCCTTCATTGGTTCTTTCTGATAATTGCCTCCAATCTTCGCTTTACACAAGCTGCGAAGACGGAGCCACCTCGAGTGAAATTTTCACAGTCTCAGATGCAAGGCTCGGCAACCACACCAGGCAGTTAGCAGGGAGGGAGAGAGCCATACAGTCCTAGGCTGACCATGCTGCGTTACATGCATGTCGGAGCATGCATGCCAAGGTGGCTGGCCTAGCAAAGCCAGGCTACCTCTGCAGCTGAAGGAGGAGGGCCCCCACCCACCCCCCAAGGGACGCAATCACAGTGGGTAGTATCCCCAGATGCCTTTGTGAAGAGCTTTGTTTCCCTTTGTCTTCCTGAAAAAAAAAAAAGTGACCTTTATGTGGCAACATTTTGTGATATCTCATTCCTGAGCTCAAAGCAGATGGTTGTGGTGATTTCAGGAGGCTTAGCTGGGGTTGGGGGTGGGGGCGAGGGAGCCCGGGCAGCATCTCAGGCACCCAGATAGAAAGATCTTGAGTTTATATAGGCAGACGTTGGGGATGAGTCTCAGAACGTTCCAGGGCCTGACCCGGGGGGGGGGCGAGGGGGGGGAGGAGGCTTATCTGCTTGGAGGCCGCTCAGCATCCAGAAGAATACCCCTCCGTCAGATTATGCAAAGTCGCAAAAATGACTTTCTATTCTTCCTCATTTCAGAAGGTTCCTCCGAGGGAGAGCACAGATCAGAAAACGCCCGCTTGGCTTTGCGGATTCGAGTTTATTCCGTTTCATTTGCTTATCTCTGAGATCCCGTTTGAGCTGGGTTATGTAGCTTTCTTTTTCAGCTCCATCACAGTAAGACAGGAGCCTCAGAGAGGCAGCCCCTTGCAGTACAGGGGGAAGGGGAGCAGCATTTAGTGGGTGTCTCTTGGGTGAGGGTCACTTTACGGCATTATGTAAATTCCTCGTGGTATCAATCCCGAAGTGTGTGTGTGTGTGGGGGGGGGTCCTTATTTACATTTTGTAGACAGTGCACGTTGGGTAAACAGTAAACCTGGAGGTAGGATTTGAACATAACTGTCTTTAGATCGTCGTTGTTGGGCTCTGATAATTACTACATTGTACCTCGCTTCTCAGAGGGTGCCGAGGGTGCTCTGCTTATAGGAGTGGAGAAGGGGCCACTCCTCTACATTTAGAGGAGATCAAGTTCAAATCCCTGTCAAAGTCTCATGGGGGTGGGGTCTAGGACTTCTGTTGGTTTCCTTGCTTCAGAGAAGGTAGAGTGAAATGGGGCCTGGGAGCTCACTTTCCTGTCTCTCCCAGGGGAGCTTTCCTAGGTGCTAGCCAGAGCAGAAAGATCGCCTCTGTATTAGACAGCCCCAGTGCTGGCCTCTGGCTGTGGCTGTCTCCTGGGCATTGTCCATGGGAGGAGAACGCAGCACATTGCAGTTGGTGTTAAATAGTGAGCCAATGAACTATGAGTGACATCCACAGGACCAGTGTGCTTTCAAAGGGAATCGCATCAGAGGCT